ATAAGCTAGGAAAGAGCAGAAATCCCTAGAAATGCCTAGTAGTTAAATACGGACGTCGCACGTCGTTAGTAAATTAAATCGAGGAAATAGACATTGGCACTAATGTATAAATTAAGTATCATCATCATCAACAGCCTTTAACAGCATGCTGGGCATGGGCCTCCTCTTAGAAAAGAGGTTTTGGCCTCCTATACCACGCTGGCCAGACGGGTTGGTATAGGGTTGTGTGTGTTCCCGGATGTCTTAATAACAGCTGTTCCCGGATCCCTCCTATTACGGGCGCAGAGTGGCACACCGTGTGGTTTTAGTCGGTCCGATTCCGACACACCACCCCGCCGCCTTGGGGTGACGGCCCGAGGGGGTTTCCACGCGTAAAAAAAAAAAAAAGGGTTTTGTTTGTGTTTTCATTATCTTTGCAGTGCTGTTTGCTGCCTTAGTGGGCTCTCACGACACCCACGGGATGAATATGAGTGACGACATTCACTATTCTTAATCCGTCACCACACGGATAGTTTCGGTACTGTTTTATTTAACCATCTATTTATTAGCGGGTAACGAAGTTAATTTTAATTTTCGACAACCATTTCTGAAATAATCAATACCTATCTAATCTCATTGGTACTTAATACGCGAAATCTAAGCCGTAGGTAGATTCTCTTAGATTTTCCATTTTGTACAACACGTTTAGACCGTTTTACTTCAATAAAATGTTTTATCTGTATTAAATGTTAAATAGTACGAAAGATATTGAAAAAAAAAATACGAATAAAAAGGCTTATATTCAAGTCTGCCGTAAACTCTAAACGCCTTATGACGTTCCTAGCAGATTATTTAATATTAACGGTACGAAATTGCACATTTTATAATGAAATATACACACTACGTATATAGGGTTAAAACCAGAGCCCTGAACCCTTACTCCTGATTCCAGGAAAAAAAAAAAGACGTGTGGCCTCGGGGACTGCCGCGGTAAAGCTATTGCATAGCATTTTGTATCAACTTATGCAATTATAATTATTTATTTATTTTATTTATGCAGTATTTCTTTTTCTTTGATATTAATTCAAGTTACACTTTTTGAGCGTGGTGACCGATAAGAAAACATTTTTTTTTCTTTTATTAAATAAAAATATTGAAGCATATATTACAATTTGTTTTTAAATAAATAAATAAAAAATATTATTATTAAATCAAATTATATATCCATGTAAGATTTTTCTGCATTATGTTGACGAAATTTCCTTTGACGTTCAGCATTTGATTTTGGTACTGTTTTTTGTTTTGTTTTTAGCGTGAGGTTTTTTTTCGTTACGGAATTTCTGGATTCGGTCCCCGCGCTCAAGGCCCTCGATAGAAGCTATGCAATAGCTTAATAATTGCTTATTGTTAGAAAAATGTCACTATTCTGTTAATTAATTTACTGGCATATCTTGTAACTGACATTAAAATCGCAGTGACATGACATGAATCAATAACTGGATGACCGAGTTTTGCTTGGTATTTCTTTTTTTTTTTTTTGGTAAATTTTCTAAATATGAAACCTGGCTTGATCGAGTAATCGCCCCAGAAATCCGATGCATACTAAATTTCATGAAAATCGTTGTAGCCGTTTCCGAGATAGTGTGATCTTTTGTTTCATTTGACATGACAATTCTAACTGACGTTAAGTATCTATTTTTTGAATTTGATTTATTTTGTTTGACATTATTATTTTGACATTGAGTTTCTAAATTGTGATAATATCTGGTTACAGTTCTGAAAGTTATATATCTAACATGTTTATATCTTATATGCTTTTAATGTAAATTGTTTTAGAGATTATATCGTACCTTTCTTTACTCGCTATTATAAATTGTTACATTCAGACACAATTGTAATAAATTATTAATAATAAAAATATTTTCACACATCTCACACACAGCCGCCTGATTCTAAACTAGGCAGAGCCTGTACTACGGTAACCAGACTGCTGATAAACATACTTATATATTTCTAAATACATACATAATATAGATAAATTACACCCAGACACAGAACAAATGACCGTGCTCATCACACAATATTTGTATTGGGTGGGAATCTAATCCACGACCTCTGGCGTAGCAGTCAGGGTCACTAACCACTAGACCATCAGGCCAGTAATGAATTAAATCTAAACAAATAAATAAAATTGAAGTGTCTGCTTGTAATGTCAACATACATAATAGGTTTATTTTATGCTAACACGGTTATTTGCACGATACCCATGCCTAAAAACCAGTTTCAATGTTTTTTGTCTGACTGTTTGTTCCGGGTATCTTTGAAACGGGTGGACCGATTTTGATAATATTTTCCTACCAGGCAGCTGTCTATTTGACTAGTAACTTAGGCTATAGAATTTTGACCGGTCCGGGAATAGAACACACTAAGGCGGCGCTTTTCAAATGGCACGCTACCGAAGTCGGGGGCGCCAGCCAGGCAATAAATATGGCCGGACTAGAACGGCGGCAACAAGTTGAGTCGCCGGTTTCCATTCCAAGGGTATATCTAATCACTTATCAAGTTACCTATCTCCTTGTTTACACCCTAAACCATAGAAAAAAGTTGTCATCCATACTAATATTGTAAATGCGAAAGGAGTGTCTGTCTATCTGTCTGTCTGTTACGTCTTCACGCTTAAACCGATGAACCAATTTAGATTAAATTTGGTATAGAGATATGGAGTTTGAGTCCCGGGAAATTACATAGGATAGTTTTTATCCCAGAAATCATCCTTTTAAGGGGTGAAAAGGGTGTGGACGATTCCTTTTTTTATTTTTTTTTAATAATACATTACATATAAATATTATTTATAAGACAACTGACATCCATTTTAAAATAAATAGTTTATTTTGGTTTGTCAAAACGCGCGTTCCTCGAAAACTATCAAACAAATTCCAATAATTTATTGTTGTACTGGATTGCGTATTAATTAAGGAATGATTATAAGCTATGTACCCTCACACTACCCTCAGTACCGGAGCAGGGACTTTATTCGGCGTATAACGCCTTCTAACACAAACCTTCATAATATCTTCAAGCTAAAATCTAAAAAAAAACGACTACCTAATTAAAACAATTTAAAAAAAAACTATGTGATCATTAAACGGGCATTCTGCCTGTCTGTAAATAAGCACTATGTTACAACTGCACTAAAAATAATAATAATAAACACTATATATTAACCACACGCGTAATAATTTATATTTTAAACACCAAACACGTGTATGCGAAACATCAAATAATTACGAACTAAACACGTCATAATAATATGATAAGATATAATATACTTATAGGGTTGGCAGTACCAAACATTTTTAATATCAGACTGGGCCTCAATTCTGCCACCAACTAACGCTATGCCACTGTCATTCCATTACCACGCTATTGAGATGCCATTGAGATGCCTCAACTCGGACAGCGGTCAAAATATCGGTATTCTACTAACATGATTTCACAGTGTCAATATACTGTCGATATAGTGATATCAAAAACATCGCCTATTTTGTTTTATAACCAGCTGACCCGGCAAACGTTGTATTGCAAACAAAAAAAAAATAGGGATGGTCACCCTTACCATTTAGAGGTATGAAAAGTAGATGTTGGCCGATTATCAGACCTACCCGATGTGCACACAAAAGCCGTTTCGGAGGAGTACGGGAACAAACATTGTGACACGAGAATTTTATATATAAGATAATATAATTTAAAATGTACCGTTAACCACACTATTACAAAGACATCTACGACATTTGTATAAGTGAAAAGTTGATCATTGATCTTACATAGACAGTAGAATAAGATAAGTGCCAAACTATCTCGACGAACTTCTATCGACAGTCTATTGATACAATATTAAAATAGCAGAATTAAGGCCCTGCACAGATGTCGTAGTGGTTTATGCGATTACCTCACCGCTTCCTACTACGCTGAGTGTTGTGGGGTTAATCCCCGCAAGCTACAACACTTTGTGTGATCCACAAATTATTTTTTTGAGTTTGGGTGTTCTTTGTTTGTGTTTCGTAAATGTCTGTAAAGACTCCCGCGACACAGGATATATTCCTAGTGTGGGAGTTGTCTGTAAAAATAAAAAACAGTGGCACTCCGGCAGCGCCGACAGAAGTGAAAAGTTATATAATCATATACAGAGGTTCGGTAACGGTAACAGTGTCGCAAATTCAATTTTTTTTTTCATCTCAATAAAAGTGCCCAACGCACCTAAAGAAGTTTTCACTTCAATATATATACAGAGGCTTCTGCGAGATGACATCTTAAACGCTGTAACTGAACCCGCGACCCTGAGAACTGCAGTTAGTTATCTACAATAGGCCAGTGTCAACCCTGAAGGAATACTCGTTGAATCTTCATAGAGCTAAGCGCGGAAGACAGATACAGGGCCAAAGGCTATCTCTTCTTATCAGCGGCGGAGCTGGTGAATGACGTTGATAATATCTCTAGTGTTTCCTTCACTGGCAATGAATTTATGAAAGAAAACCCAGAACCTATATTTCCCTACCCTCTGGGCCTCGTAAAATAGTTTAAACAGGTTTTCGGTCTGAATGTAATTGATTAGATTTAGGAGTAACTTTATATAACACTAGCTGACCCGAGTAACTTCGTCTGCATCCTGCAAAATTCAAACTAGTGGTTCCTGAGATTAGCTCGTTCAACCAAACAAACAAACTCATCTCCTTAGAAAGGAGGTTTTGGTCTACTATACCACGCTGCAAGGTTTTGGCCTACTATTCCTTCTCTTTGCAGTGCTGTTGTCCTTCGTAGTTTGCTTCCTTAGACGGCTCTTGCGACACCCACGGGATGAATAAGGGGTGGTGACTTCACTAGCTATATCTATTATCTTACTGCAGAAAAATCAATGAGGTATAACACAAATAACTTCCAAACACTTCCATCAGACTAAAAGAGCGCTTGTCAGTCACTGTGGTGGGAGAAAAACTAAACCTATTGATATCTTTTCATTTCAGATACTCTCAAGTTACGTGTCTCTGGGCCAGTCGCCAGCGTGAGAGAATCCCAGCTGGTGGATGAATATGGAACAGAATTGGCCAAACTGACATTCAGGTAAGACTATTTTCCATGGCCTCACAGATAACCAGTGTTAAAAGGTTCTTTCGTTGTTTTTTACCCAGTGATTGAGGTTAAAGAGCGATCCAAAAACGGATTTAAAACAGAAAAATACTACAATCCTTTTTGCTTAGGGCAAGAATTACAAAAATAAGTGAATTACCGCTTATGATAGAAACCTTTGGACAACTATTACTTTTTCATATTTTAGCTACCAACCCATGGCTGGAGACGGACAAAACCTGGAGTACAACCCAAACTTTGAGCTAGTAGCAGACGTCGCGTTACCACCAGTGAAGGCTTCCAAGATCTACACCAAAATCGTCGGGCGAGATGTGAGAGGTAATAAGAAAGCCAATTGCCATGTTTCTATTGCGCGGAGAGGGTAGCATATTCAAGATTTCGCCTGAAGCGGTTCCGTTCTTAACAATTGGCGTTCAGTTCGATGTAGAAGAACAAAGGATTTATAGCTTTTTTTCAAAAAAAAAGGCTTATAATATTGGATTATGATGATGAAACCGTATGGGCGTCATAAAATAGCATACCATAGCCAAACTGCTGAGTAGAAACTTTTTTTGTTTTTTTAGGATTCTTTCCTGACAATGTGGTTTCCATTCCCACCCAGGAAAAACATTTTGTGATGAACACGATCATTTGTTCTGTGTCTGGGTGTTTTTACCAATCTATAAAAGAAGAAACTGACAGACTTGACTGCACGGATGACGTAGTGGTTTAAGCTGTCACCACGCCGATTCCTACTGCACCGATTGTTGTGGGTTCAAACCCCACATGGGTCATTATGTGTGATCCACAAATTGATGTTCTGAGTCTGGGTGTACTTTCTGTCCGTTTCATGTATGTTTGTAAAGTCCCCCGCGACACAGGATTTTTTCTAGTTCTAGTTTTTTGGCGCAAATAGTCATCTCTGTCATAGTATCCAAAGAATCCCAACCCTAATAAGACTTTAATATCCCACGAAGCTCCCCAAACATAATCACTTGGACATGGATTATTTATAAGATAAAATTAATTTCACAGGACAACCCTTCGTCCGCCTATCTGGACCTCTAGTCCAGCCCGAAGTCCGCCTGGGAAGGTCAGCGGCCATAGTGTTTCCAGACTCCTTAAACGACCTGGAGAGAGCTGAGGAGTTCAACTCCAGGGCATACAATAATCAGTTTCGTACTAATGATAGTGATGTACCTTTAAGCAGGATTTCTCAGGTAAAAGAGTATTATCCTAACTAATATTATCGGTTGTAAGTTTGTTTATAACGTAGCATGCCAAAACTACTGAACCGATTCGTATGAATTATTGCTTGTTAGGAGTGGAGAAAAGGAAATACAGGATACTTTGCATCTAGGAAAATCAATCAAATCAAATAAAAAAAAAACAAGTTTCCACTTCTGTCGGCACTACCGGGCCCAAGGTGCCACTGTTTTTTTTTATGTAATAGGGGAGCAAACAAGCAGACGGGCCACCTGATGGTAAGTAACTGTCGCCACTTTATACAGCTTCATAGAGTCCTCGCCTCTAGGGTACAGCAGGGAAGACGAGAACGGGGACGGGGAGTGGTGCAGACGGCGGGAGCTCGAAGAAAAGAAGAATAGTTACAATATAATGTTTTTATTAATCAGACTGATGTTTTTATCTCCACAGATAATAAATCAACAAGGTACTCTACTCACAACCGTACAGATCGGTCTGGCATCCAGACTACATGGAAATCCTGGAGACAGATTACAGGTGAATACTAACAGTCTTTTATCGTATCTATAACTGACTGATTTGAGAAAAAAAATACATTGTAATAAGTTTCTTAGATAATATTAAAAATCGTATTAAGAATAGGTAATTGATAATGATGTTGATGAGAGCAAATCACTTGATATCAATCTTGAGACCAGTGCCTGTCGCGCTGGTATAAGGTCATCACACTCACTCTTTCAATATCAAACTGTCATTCATAGATTTTTGAAATAATTATTAATTCAGAAACGACCAATAGATATTACATAGTTGTCCATGTCTTGATGGATTAAGAATACGGAGTGTCACCACTACTATTCATCCCATGGGTGTCGTAAGAGCCGACTAAAGGAGCAAACTACGCAGGACAACAACACTGCAAAGAGAAGGAAAACTTGGCACAAACCCCGGTCAGCGTGGTGTAGTAGGCCAAAACCTCTTTTTAGAGAGAGACCTATGTCCAGCAGTTGACTATTCAAGGCTGTTGAGGTGACCAGATTGCACAAGCTGATTTCCGCCAGCCTCATTCCCGATTGAATTACAAATTATATCATGGAGTGCGAAAGTTTATAAGAAAATAATCATTTTGTGTTTTCAGTTACACTTTGAAGTAACGAACTTCAGAGAACAGTCTGTGAGGTTCGATTTCGGAGCTGTTGGAGAAATGAGGTTCCTGACAGGCATCAATCCAACCTCGTGAGTTTTTTTTTAATAATATAAGTAGCAAACGAATAGACAGAGGACCTAGTGACTAGTTAATGACAGTCACCGCCATTGACCCCTGCAACTCAAGCCACAAGTGCGATGGACGCCCTTTAAGTTCTTCCCCCAGAAGTAGGGGAGTCTTCGTTGCTTTACTCACCCGGTAAAGTAACGAAAGAATTGCCTAACAACGGTTTACTATGAGCCCGTGGTATCACTAAAGTGGAACCGGTACATTTGTGGTGAAACATGGCTCTCCTACGGTTAGACTTATTTTTGACTAGCTTTTGCACGCGGCTCCACCCGCGTGTTTGTCAGTTATCGCGGCAAAAAGTAGCTTATGTCCTTCTGCAAGAATAAAACTATTTCCATACAAATCTCCTCCATCTTCATCTAAATGGGTGCAGCGGTTATTGATTCCCTATACAAACTTCCATCCCCCTTTTCACCTTCTTACAGGATGATTTCTGGGAAAAGACTATTCTATGTCTTGCCCGAGACTGAAACTATCTCTATACCAAATTTTATCCAAATCAGTTCAGCGGTTTAAGCGTGAAGAGGTAACAGACCAGCAGAGAGACAGACAGACACACTTTCGCATTTATAATAGTAGTATGATTGACACATATGCATACAAAAACCTAGAAATACAGCAATATTATTGGTACCCAACCATGAATCAAAGTCCACTTTCAGACAAATTATACCCTCGGGACAAACGGTCAACGTCATCGTCAGCCTAACCATACCGACTACTGCTCAGCCAGGAGCCAGAGATACCATCACCTTTACTGCTTATGGTAAGATCTTACACATATACGTATTCATCAGGAATAGAGGGGCAAACGAGCAGACGGGGCACCTGATGATAAGTAAAAAGCTATGCCGCCCTTTGAATCCTTCGCCCAGCACCAGGTGGAAGAGGTCTGTGGGCTTCGGTAGCCTCGCTCACTTGGTCAAATGCAACGAAAGAACTGCTTAACACTGGTTTTCTGTGAGGTCGTGATAGCACTCTGGTCGAGCCAGCCCAATTGTGACGAAGCCTGGCTCCCAGCGAAATACCTATGTACGTGCACTCACGTTTTTATTCCCGAGAGGATATTTTGCCGACTGTATTTTGTATTCCGTGTGGTGACAGCTTATGAATATTGAATGTCACCACCCCTATTAATTCCGTGGCTGTCGTAAGAGCCGACTAATAGAGCAAACCACACAGGACAACAGCACTGCACAGAGAAGAAAACCTTAAACAAATCCTATACTAACGCGTCTGGCCATCATGGTATAGTAGACCAAACCTTATTTCTAAGGAGAAGCCTATGGACATAGCAGTGAACTATTAAAGGCTGTTGATGATAGTGATGTGTGATATATTTATCCGTCTTTTTCTTAGAATTAATGGACTTTTTAAAGAGATTTTTTAGAACCAGAAAGGTGAAACCTGACCTACTGTACCTACAACTAATAGAAAAATGTTTTTCAGGCAACGAGCAACTATCAATGTCTGCATACATTTCCGTCTCCAACGCACAAGCTACTATTGACACTTGGGCACCAGAAATGAGACACATCTTCCAGGGTACTTGTCTTGGAAGAACTGGAGACGACTGCGCTTTACACACCTGGGCGGTGACTGTGATAGCCAGGGACCCAGGAGCAGGTAATAATGGCATTCCGTCTCTTTTTATTTTGTACCCGCGGTTAAGAAATATATTTCAATTCCCTGCTCATCCCAAGAGAACACTACATTACATTCGGGATAGCCTACGTGTCAATCCAGGGTGTCAGCTACCACCATATCAAATTTTATCAGAATTGATCTAGCCGTTTAAGCGTGAAGAAGTAACAAGCATACAAACATACTCACAAACTTTCGCCTTTATAATATTAGTGTGAAGTTTTTTTTTAATATTCAAATTTACAATACAATCAATCAACTTATTTAAAAAACCCCTTAAGTTCCACATCTTTAGAACGTTCTCCAGTTTTTAGCATCGCGATTGTAATTAATACCCGCTTGCTATCAGACACCGATACGTAATGCGACCCGACACCTTTATATCTTCTTCTTAATGTACCCACATTTTAATTTTAATTTTAGTTATGTGATTTAGCACAATAGTTGGTGACAACATCAAATGCGCTCGTAGATTATAGGTTTACCATTAAGTTCATAATTTGTATATCTCAATATAAGTGAATTGTATTATTTTGAGTAATAAATATCTTAAACCAGAAATTTTTCGATTACCAGAACAAATATCAAACATATGTTAACCCACATCGCGAAAACTTATATTGCGTTATGTAGAATTAGTAGTTACAACATAGTACAGCGTGACTTCATTAGATCGCACTGAAATAAATTTAAATTGTAACCACAAAACTCGAGTCATTCTAAAACAGAGGTTTGTTCTCCAGGTCTCCTCCGTCTCTCATCGTCTCCGATCGGCTTAATATACAACGAAGAGTTCACGTCTGGGACCAGAGAGGAAGTGATAGCGACATATAGGGCTACCTGCTGCGCTCCAAGACTGCTAGTCAGCGCTGTGGATGCCGTCGGAAATGCTAACAGTTATACCATTGATATTTCTTGTAAGTTACTTCTTTCTGCCGATCTATATCATCATCTTATTTAATCCCTGCACGTGGGCCTCTCTGAACGTGAGCCATTATAACAATCAACTACCTCAGCTATTTTCCTAGGGTCCTTGATGAGGGGCATTCTACTCTAAGACGCGTTTACTCCAGCTTTAGGTCTTTCTGCAGATGACCAGCCTATTGCTACATGAGCATTCTTTTTCTACGAGCTATATACCTTTGGTTCTTTGTCGGATGACCTATAAAAAAACGACGACGACTATATAAAGAAACTCCAAGCATAGCTCGCTCCATTGCACGCGAGTTTAAGGTTATGGCCTAGCTACCTTCCTTATCTCCCCCCTCTGTCTGTAACTTAAAAAAAAAAACCTCGTAAATGTGTTTATACAATAATATTAATATTTTCAGGGTACCTAACGGAAACAGCAATAGCTGCAATAGTTTTAGGAGTATTCCTGGCCATCGCACTCATAGTACTACTGATCCTTCTAATATACTGGTGCGTGAAGAAGCGAAGGGAGACCAGAGAGCTACCTAACTTTAATACCAGGAGTTAGTTTGGGTGTGACCAATATATTTTAAAGAATTTAATGCTGGAATTTGTTGATGGCTGGTATACGGTAGTTCATTCTGATATCACTTGGATTAAATAGAATCATATTACAAAATATTATTTTTAGTTGAATCATAAAATATCTAATGTAATTTTAAAAAAAAACACTGATAATTTTCTTCATTTAAAAACTTATACCGGTACCTTCAAGAGTCAAGACCGGTGTTACCGATACACAGTAATATTAATATTAGTGTTCTGGTATACGGAATAACCCTACCGGTATAGCATACCGTGAACCGAAATAGGAATACCGGTGTAACAATATTATCTCTGTATGGTATAGCAATATTGGTATTCTATATACCGGTATTCAAAAGCTGTTCGAAATTTATTTATTATTTAATTCCACTATTTTTTGAAGAATCATTTATTACGCGATATCTATTGAACTACTGTATAACATTTATTGTGACAGTTAAAAACGTAAAGTGTAAACGTAACTTGTGTGATTAAAATTAAGTGATGATGTTAAAAATAAGTTACCTTTAGTATTTAATTAACATTTAATATTAAGATTTATTATGTCACTAGACATTTCTTATTATTATTTTTTGTGTTAAAAAAAGACTTTTCACAACATTAAGGTCTCTGCTCACTATATCGTAACATGTATAATGTTAAATAATTAAATCATCATGAATGTCAAAACAAAAAATAATAAAGGAGTAACAGGAATATCTGCGTATATAAGGTGCGAATACGTTCTAAAATTAATAATTCAATTTAATAATAAACTCCTCGTACTTCTACTTCCTTGTAGACAAAGAAATAGCTACACTAGCAGTAGCTGTAAAGGCGAACTATTCAATTGGGACTATACTTCTTTCGCTTCTCTGACAGTTGTAATTTTCTATAAATAATTCAACAGCCCTCGTTAAAAATAATTTTATTAGACTAGTATTCAGAAGACTAGTACTCAAAACCCAGTATTTAACATAAACAACAAAACGTACCGTATTTGTTTGGTAAATATGAATACCACAATTTGCATAAATAAGTATTAGTATCGGGTCAAATTACCACTACAAGTTTTATTTACCTACAGACCACACGCATAGCCTTATTATAATGAGTTAGAGTAATTGTTACGGTGACTGCCGACCGCGATCACTGTAAACATATGAACAAATATTAAAGGATATTATTATAATAATCTGCTTACAATAAACAAGCACCGCACGTCACACTAAACAGAGTGAAGAACTCGTATCTTTATACATATGCAAATATCAGGGCGGAACTTACACGTGTATACATACCAGTTACCGATCTAGTGAGTTCAGACCATTTGACATTACGTTTGTAAACAACTTGTTTATAATTATTTTATTTTTTATTTTTATTTATTAATATTACAATTAATGTCAAAATTACGTGTAGGACTAAGCGTTCCAAAATATTCATGAACTAGTGTCACAATTAAAAAAAAAATAGAGTTAAGTACAGTCAGAAAAATAAATCCAAAACTTTTCAGTTTTTGATGTGTAACATCAAATCGCTTTTCTGCAATCTCTGATTTCGTAAAAAGGGACGGATGTATGAAACAGGAAATCGTAGAATAGCGCGCTATTTAAATTGACCAATGAGAGTCCGCAGTACTAGTCGCTTGTCAAATTGTAGGTGAGCTGTCCGATATTACATATCTTATGCGACTACTGGCATAGCTAGGTTTCCTTTTATTTTTAACATTTTTTTCTTTTTAAAACCTATAGGAATGCAGGCTACCGTGTGGACTATAAATTGAGAACGGAATTCGGACTATTCGACACAAAGGTAGAATAAGCTCTATTTTTGCCGGATAGTTACAGTAATACAGGTTTTGCTTTCTCCATATTGTTATTATAAAAAAATAAGTGAATAGTACGTACCGACGTACGCATCGGTCGGTATAAGCAGAGTCTAAAAAATATGAATGATATGATAAAAGGATATGAATTGATATAAGGAATAATCACTGTAAAAGTTGCTATTATAATCACTAATTCAAATCGTCTAAGATGTCTAGCGTAGGCAAGACTGTAGAACTATGATTTGGTACTAAATCTCTAACGCCCAGAAATAGATATTGGTGTTCCTCTGATATATAATAAGAATAGAAATCATTGGTATATCTGAGAAGTGCTTACACAAATTACAAAAAGAGTGTGTAGTGTAGTGTGTCCTCAAATACAGTGTTAAAGCGGAAGTAAAATTGCCGGAAGCGATTATTTTAGGTCTCGTCCGAACAGCGATATTTCACCGCGAGGTTTTTATACGCGCGGAAATAAATCGCCACCGTATCGCGTTCAATCAGCATCAAATTAAAGTTCTTTTTCGCACGAATTTGTCACAGAATTTTGCGAAAAAAAAAACGCAATTTAAGTAAATCGAGATCCACCAACGTTGCAGACGCGGAATTAGCCTTACATTCACATAATATTGATTTCGGATCATCCTTCAACATTAAAAATAAGTATTTTCTACTAATACGGGTAGTACAATAAAAAAATATTTAAATAATTTAAGTTGTTTTAAAAAGCCATATTTTGTAAAAAATATATTGATTAAATAAAGTTTTAATTGTGTTTGTATTTTTTTTTCTTACCTAAAAATACAAAAACTTACATGAACGCGAAATGTTACAAGCGACATGTGAGTTTTTGTCATGCCATTACTTTAAAATCAATATTTAAAAAAAGAAAGTGGTGGGCAGACGAGATGATGGTTAGTGACTTAGGTACATCATTCATGGACACCTGTAAACTCAAGAGACACACATGTGACGACGCCCTTTGAGTCCCTTCAATCAGGGAGGGCTTAACGACGTTTTTCTGTGAGGCCGTAACATCACCCCAGTCGAGCCTGCCTGTATCTACAGTAGCATCACTCTAACAGTTAAACTCAACTCAACTCAACTCAAACTTTCTTTATTTCATAAAATTTCCAAAATTGTTTGAAATCGTCTTCCATGTAGACTCTAAAGTCATAGATCAACACACACAAAAGCAACAATCTCTGTTTTGTCAAATAGTAACCAAATAAATTTAACAAAAATCAAACCCATACAAAATCTATGATATGCCTGTGCCGATCTACAACCGCCCGTTTCCAAGGGGTTGAGCCTTATGAGAAGAAAGGGCAAACAAACTCATGGCCACTCTTTTGCAATTCACAGGTAGATACAATGGCACTATTAAATATATCACAACATTGTTTTGATGTGTGCTAGTATGTCCGTTATTAAGGACTTAAAGGTGAAAAAAACAACGAAGAGAAAACAAGATTAAGAAGAAAAAACGAATACAAGAGAAAATGAAGTGAAACATAAAAAATAGAAAAAATAATAATAATAAAAAACATACTAATAATAATAAATTGTTTTAAACATAAAGATGTTCTACATCAATACTAATCCATACCCTTACAACCCTCTTCCCACTTTCGTCCCCTTGGCAGAAAAACTACCTCCAGGAGATAAACTACCCTGCCCCAAATGGAAGGCGCTCAATAAGCTGCGTACCCAGGTTGGCAAATCCAAGGATAATATGTCAAGATGGGGATTTATCAACCCAAGCGCAAATAAATCGGTGACGAGTCTCCAAAGATAATGGGCCGTTTGCTATCATGCCCCGCTAGCCCAGAACCATGTGCGCTTGACGACCTGTATCATGCAAGGCCAAACGCCATCTGCGTCGCCAAGCACTGAGCCAAAACCGTCTAATGTGTTGCCATCGACACAATAAGAAGAAGACTAATCAATACTAATATTATAAATGCGGAAGTGTGTCTGTCTGTCTCTCTTTACACTGAAACTGCTAAACCGATTTTAATGAAATTTGGTATGGAGATGGTTTCAATCCAGGATAGTTTTTATCCCAGAAATCATTCTTTAAGGGGGTGAAAAGGGGGCGGAAGTTTGTATGGGGTATCAATAACCCCTAGACCGATTTAGATAAAATTCGGTATGGAGATGGTTTGATTCTTGAGGAAGGACATACACATACATTTACCACAATAACCGACAACACGCATCTTTGCATAGCTTTTGCTGACGGCTCCCGTAGGCAAAAGGTAGTTATATATCAAAGATAATAAACAAAATTATTAAGATATAGATTAAATCATGATGTTTCAAAATTTTTACTGCAAATTTTCTGTATATCAAAACTTTGTAATAATAAAAAATTAAAAAATTTATATTATGTTGTGGGGTGTGTTTTAAAGGAAATAAAACTAAATTGGTGGCATCAAATAGAAACAAAATAACAAAATAAAAGTCTCGGGCGCCAGATACCACCTTAAAAGAACACAGAACCCACCACAAACACAACAAATACCTCGGACATCTCAGCCAGCGTTGAACCTTTTTAAAACAAAGCGGGAGGACAGCTAATGAATACAAGATGTTAAGTTCTATTGGCAGTTTATTATCCCGTAGTGTCTGTAGAGTACAATGTGTCTTATGTCTCTAATTACATTAGGTAAATCTTATACACAAATTAGTACTGTCATTAATGCAATCCTTTCCAATAAGAAAAATATAAGGTTAATTAAATTTTAAAGAGTCACATAAAGACTAAATAGACAAAACAGTAGACTCTAAAGGTAGACATAGCATTGACCTACTCTCTAATGAAAAATAACACCCCTTGGGGACCTGCAGTGTTCAATGCCACGTCGCCAAGAAAAATATAACAAAACTACATACCACAAAACAATGACCTTGGACCAGTCCGAATGACATGAAATCAAACCAACTCCGAAACTTCTCACTCCGGCTCCCACGTGGTGGAAGAGGCGGGTCAGCACTCCCAGGCTCCAGACCATGGCGTACAGCTAAGCAGCTTTTCCTACCATTCTGGCGCTCCACAGCAAACTAATTTCTTGGGGTTAAACTCCGGCGAGAGACAAAAATCCGAATGCCACGCAAGGACATTCCAATAAGAAAGTAAATAAATTTAG